AAGTGAGAATGGCTGCTTTGGTGAAGCGTCCAAGTTCCAGAGTTCATTAGTGTGTTCCGAGTTCCACAAGGTTTTCATCACAGCAGAGTAGAGACCTGTGCCCCATGATAGCCATCCAAGTGGTTCTGAATTTCACACTTATGTGCCCATGCTTCGGCTTGGCAGCATCCCTCTGTGGGTTCAGAGCTTGTGCCAGCTATCAATTATCAGTGGCTGGATGCCCAAGATGATTTTCGGAAGCAGCCAGAGAAATCTTCTCTCAGACTTTAGCACATCAGTCTAGAATTCCAAACTCAAGGTCACCTCACTCCTCTTTAGATAGGATCAGGATGTGATCAAATGCTATGTGTCTTTGCCTTCCAGCACCTACCTGTTCCTTGCCCATCTTCTCTCCGGCTCCCCATTCTTCTTCAAACTCCAGCCATCAGTTTTTCCAAGTGGGGTTGCCCACTTGAACCCCCTTCCCAAGCTCCTGCCCCTGGAAACCTAGACTCTAGAATTGTGACAGCATCAAGAAACAGGGGAGGTGCTTAGAACTAACCACTTCTTTTTTTTTTTTTTAAAGATTTTATTTAATACTCTGGTTTCTCTTCAGATCATATAAATCTTTCACCTTTTACTGAAGATTTCCATGTAAAGATTTTATTTATGTGTACAGAAATGAGGACCAGAGGTGTAGGGGTGGTGAGATGATTCAGAGTGGGGAGCAAAATAGGCAGATTGATGGAGCACACTGCTGAGGGGAGCAATGGGCAAGACAGGAGAGGTCTGTGATGCCATGTGGATCACCTCCGGGGCGGGATCGAACTTACACTGAAGTGGCCATGGCTTGGCTTAGCTTCTCGATGTAGCACTCCAATCTGTTGCGCCACTAGGGAGGGCCAAAACTAACCACTTTTTGAAGGAAAAAGAGGTAACGAACCTAGTCAGGTCAAGTGAAATGAAGAACCACAACACATGTCAAAGGGAAAGGTCTAAGCTCGAACTGAGAACCACATTCTGCTCTTTCTTTGTTTATCTTATGACCACCCTGGGATGGTCAACACCAAATTTTAATTGAATTAATACTTTTACATGCTGGGAGACAGTTTCAAATTTTGGGAAACAACCAAAAATAATCATATGGTAGAGAAGCTTCTTAAGGCTAATTTTGCTCACTGTTAAAAACAATAGCCTGTTTTTCTAAGAAGTGATTGTATTCTATTTCTCCTCTCAAATGTTAATTTTGAAATTTAAAGATTACAGAGGTAAGAATGCTAAGAAACAGAAAAGGAAATTAGAAGTTTGGATTAGTCAGGAAAGGGCTGGAAAAGTTAGGTAAGTCATTGCAATACAGATGAATCAGGAATGTGAGAACATTACATTTAAGGTGATTTGATGAAATGCAAGAAAATGACCCCTGCCTAAAAGTCTCTTTCTCATCAGCTGGCCACAGTGCCAGTGTCATTCATGACACTTTGTCTTTGAAGGAAAGACAGTGTTCAGGAAGGAATAAAACAACCTGTCATACAGTTCCTGTAAGGTGTCAAGGACTTATTTATTGCTAGGAAGCCAGAAGATGGTGCTGAACTAAAGATAAACTCCTCTAGCTTTATAATTTTATTGAGTATGATCCCCGCCAAAGGAATAAAATACTCTCGGTCATGGAAACTTCCAAGGTTCTTGTCACTTCTGTGAGCGTAGAGATGGCAAAGATACTCAAGGCCTTGTTCTTTGTCTCAGGGCAGAGTTGGGGGATTGGAAAAAAAAAAAAGTTTTCTGGTTATTATTCATCAAGTTGTCCAGAGTTTTGTTTTTTACATATTCTTTTATTATTTTTTTTCTTGAAATACAGTTGACATATAGCAAATTAGCTTTGGGTGTACAACATGATTATTTGACTTCTGTACACAATGAAAATGATCACCACAAAAACTTATTTCTTATTGAAGCAATTTTTTGAATTTGTTGTATAATCTTGATGGTCTATGAGCACCCTCCAGTCCATTGTGTCCCCACAACTTAGGTATTTTATAGTTGCAAATGTGTACCTCTTGATCCCTTCACGCATTCTGCACCTCCCCAAGTTTGTTGAGTCCGGGTAAGACTCAAGGCCGAAACCCAAAAGCAGTCTTAAAGGAATGGCCTCTCCAGATAATGACTTTTGCAGGTTGAGGGTGGGTTTTCCAGGGGCCTAGGACAACTTGGATACAAAAGAACTGCTTCTGTTTTTCCAGGTTTGTGTTCTGTCCTTGGCACTGACTGGGTTAGTAGTGGTGAGCTGACTTGTTCCATAATCCCCAAGATGCTTGCTGGGAAACTGTTGCTCACAATGATTAGAACATGAAAGCAACTTAGAGGTGACCCATTTTAACACTCTCATCTTGCAGTGAGGACAGTGAACAAGGAGCCAATCAGCAGCATGGGGTCAGAGCATGAGTCTGGGGAGCAGACAGAGCCAACCCCCACTGAGCAGCTATGTGAATGTAGGCAAGTTCAGTAATGTTTCATAGTACCTTCATCTGTAATGATAGTTCTTACTCAAAGAATGGGCATAAAATGTGGCCAGTTATTATAGCTGCTATGGTTTTTGTTTTTAAAATTTCTCTTTCAGATATGCTAGGGTTTTTTGGTGGTTTTTTGGATTTACTTCATGCATACAGAACTGGGGTACAGGGGCAGTGAGAGGCTTCATCAGAGACAGAGCAGGGAGCAGAACAGGCACATCAATGAAGTACACTGAGGGGAGCAGTGGGCGGGTCAGGAGAGGTCTTCCATGCCATGTGGATCACCTCCAGGGCCAGGGATCAAACTTGCAGTGAAGTGGCTGCAGCTAGCTTGCAGTGCTGTATTCTAACATGTTGCACCACCAGGGAGGACCTATATCTGCTGTTTTTAAATTGAGATGTAATTTATATAATACAAAATTCATTTCAAAGTACGTATTCATTGTATTGTGTAACCATCACCACTGTCTTAATTCCAGAACATTCCATTACACCCAAGTAACCCTGTACCTGTTAACTGTCAGCCCCAATTTTCCCTTCCCTCCAGCACTTGATAAGTACTAATCCATTTTCTGTCTTTAGGGAGTTGCCTATTCTGAACATGAATTCTAAGTGCCCAGATAGACCTCTTGTGGTCTGGCATCTGTCAATGTTTCACCCAAGTTGTAACAAGTACTTTCACCCAAGATTCACTCATATCATAGCATATACTTCATTCTTTTTTATTGCCAAGTAGTATTTCATTAGGGATAGACCACATTGTGTTTAGTCAGCCATCAGCGTTGGTTATTTGGTCAAATTTCCATTGTTTTTACTAAGTTGGGTCAAAGCCACAGAGGCAGTTTTCTCAATCTGGTCCTGTTTTGACTTTCTCATATTACCCCCATAGTATCTGAGCATGCCTATTGTCCTAATAGTAGCAGTTTGTTCAAAGAAACCCTTAAGACCTGACTAGCTTCTTTTGAGATTTTATACCTTTACAAGAACTTTCCAGTCTTGGAAAAATGCACTATTCAAGGAAATGAAATCTAAACATTGTAGGAAAATGGTGGTGAGGACCAGGCTTAATTTTCATTGTCTAGGTTCCAGCAGACAGAACTTTATGCCTGTTCATAAAGTATTTCAAAGAAGAACCTGGTTTTGGTGTGTAAATGTACTACATGGTTGACTGCCCGGGATCAAAGAAGGCTTTTTATTAGCTCTCATTGATATCTAAGCATCCTTCCCTTTTGTTTACTTTATTCCATAGCAGAAGTAAAGAAGAAGTATCCTCTTCTTTTGTTAGACTGTCACTGTCACCATCTTAACCTGACTACTTGGACTTCCAACCGAGCCAGGTCTGAGCTTCAGGTGGGAGAGCAGGGAACTGGGTGTAGCTGGGAATGTTCTGTTCTTCACTCGCTCAAGAAGTAAGCACATAGCCCCAGGCCTTCTCTCTGTGGGCACAGGAAGACCAGATGCAGGCCCCGTTCATTTATGATTTGGTTGTTGACATTCTTTGCTTGGGAGCAGGTGATGTGTAGAATGTGGCAGGATTCCAGTGGGGAAGGGCATTCTCTGGGCTCACCCGAGGCTGTGCCTCCTTATCTTGGGTGGCACAAGAGTAGGTTCTAGCCCAGCCCAGCTTCCTGACTTTGAGCAAGTGTTTTCTTTCCTAAGCCCTAATGATCCTGTCCTGAACACGCTCATTACGATCTCATCTGAGGTTCCATTTTCTGCTATTCTTGAAGATCTGGAGTCGTCATTGTGTCAGCCTTCACATGCATTATCTCCTTTATATTAATTCCTGCCACTAAGTGTTGGCAGTCCCTGAGACACAAGTAAGCCCAGCCCTTGTCTGGGTCAAGCTAAGCATCCCTCCTGCCCTCCACCCTTCCTGGTAGACACCATTTCCAGCAGCTTTTGCCCTGGCTGCTCCAGGTAGTCTTTCTCTATGAGGCAGACTGGTTTTCTGCTGTTC